CAGCACTGCAGCATTCATATTTCTCAAGTATGGACCTTGGTGTTGAGGGCTGTTCATTTTAGCCATTACCCATTAAAACGATTTGTAGGTTAATTGAGCATTTAAAAGCAGAACATCAGAATGAACCAAAAACAGGGCCTTGTGCTGCATTTCCCACAGTGGAATCAGATAATAGGCTCAGAACTCGGAAGTACTAGTGCCTGAGAAGGTCAAACCTAGATCTAAATTTAGGAGATGGGTTAAGATTAACAAAATCTGAGTTAATATAGCCAGAATAAGATCTTAGTAATTATTTTCTAGAATAGGGGTAAATAAAGGAAAGAGAAAAGAGCATAGGTATTGAGAAAGTAAAATATAAAGAAGAATATAGTTTAGAAAAGGAATCAAAGGCAAAGACGATTCTGATCTTGGGGGCGTTAAGGAAACTGAGCAGGTCCTGAAACCAGAGTTAGCGGTCATTTCCCCCTCTGGTTTCTCAGTTTCATATGCTTCAGACCTAAGTGCTGCAATGCCTTATGTTTGGTTTTTATGGTTTGGGTTTTTTTTGTTTTTTTTTTTAGTTTATAGTAGTTCTAGATGGTAACATTTCATTAGCATCTATTTAGTTGAGAAAAATGTTAAAGAATATTTTAATAATTATTTCCTAAAACATTGTACTCGTGTGTGTTTGTGTGTCTCACAGGGTTCAAGCTCACTGTCATAATCCTCCATTCATCAGTTTCATTTCTTGAGCACCTACTGTGTCAGATGCTCATCTAGTCACTGGAGGTAGACAGCTCCCCTCTCATGGAGCATATATTCTAGACGAGGCAAAGAGACCACAGATAAGCCAGCAGTGCCAGGGCCCCAAGGCGGGAGCAGAGCGAAGGAAGATGGAGGTGACATGAGATGAACTCGGAGAGGTAGGCAGAAGCCGGGAGAGTAAGGGGTCTTTAGGCCAAGTAAAGACTTTGGGTTTTATTCTAGGAGTTTGCTGGAGGAATTTAAGCAAGGGAGAGAGAAAATCCAATTTATATTTTGTTACGATATCTCCAACTACTGTCTAGAGAAAAACGTAGGAGGCAAGTGTGAAAACAGGGACACCAGTTTGGAGTCTAAGGCAGAGCAATCCAAGTAAGAGCTGAGGGCAGCTAGAACTAAGGTGGGGAAACGCGCAGGGACTGAAGATGCATTTTGGAGGAAGAGTTGATAGAATTTACACGAGGTTAAATGTGGGTGTGGAGGAAAAATCCAGGGTGATTCTTGGGTATTGATCTTTTAGCTTGAGCAAATTGGGTGCCAGTCACTGACATAGGGAACCTAGGGGTTGAAGAGGATCCAGTGTAACATTTGAAACATGTTACATGTGAGACGCTTATTAGAGATCCACGTGGAGATTGGGTCTGCTAATCTGAAGCTCAGGGAGAGATCAGGGCTTTGGGGCTAAAATGGGATTTGGTGAGGTTACCTGGGGGAGAGAACAGAAGGGGAAGGGAAAGGGGCTGTTGGCCAACTAGCCTGGAAAGGTTTCATTAACTTAATACCAGGTACAGATATACCAGGACATGTAAGCCCTGGAAACCTCAGCAAGCGGGGTTTCAGTAGAGCCGTGCTGAGAGTTGGGGTGGCTTCAGAATGGGTCACGGGGATGAGTCAGGAAGCAGGGGGTAGTAACTGGTGGCAGGTTTTTCCGGAAGTATTGCCATTAAATGAATCCGAGAAATGGGGCTATAGTTCGAGAGGTGCTCTCAAGCAAAGGAAAACATTTTCAGAGATGAGAGACGAGTCTAGAACGGTGCTGTTCAAACTGCCCAGCCAAGCGGTGAAACGTCTGTTAACGGTGCAGGAGGAGACAAGTAAGGAAATCGAGAAGGAACGCGTTTGGAACCTTGTAATAGCAGTTTGGCATTCCTGAAACATCCGTGCAGATGATCATTCTTCTAATACTCATTTTTGTTATATTTTTAAAAGCTATTAAGTGACAAGTTGAAATTTTAAAAACTAACCAAAAAAATGTTTGATAGCTGACAGTGTGATCCAGTAATAGAGAGAAATTGATCATTTCAGGAGTAAAATCCTTGGAAAGGGGAGAAGAGTGGGATGCGAAGCACGCGTGGAGAGATTGGTCATGGATAGGAGCAGCGATAACTCATCCTTGTCATAGCAGGGAAGTGAGAAAATAAGGTTACAGATGCAGGGACGAGGGTAGGATTGGTCCAGGAAAGGTGAAGGAGGACCTTTTGGGTGCTTTCACACCATTTTACCTGTGCTGACTTTGATTGACAACCAGGTAAAACCAAACTTTTCTCATATATGTACGCAACTGAAAGTGCCCAGTGATGCTGTATATGTGCATATCCGTCAGCAGCAGGGAGTAAAATTCTCCCCATGGCTACTATGTGAACATCAGATGAAATTCAGATACATCATGGCTGGTCCACATGACTACCCTTAAAATAACGTAGAGTTGATCCAATAGTCAAAAGAAAGGACAGGCTCCAAGTCTTCCACATTGGGTGAGTTTTCATTAGGAAAGTGGCTTAGATTTTTTTTTTCTTGGCAAAAGCAACATGAGGTTTGTGTCCTAAAGTATAGAAATATGCTAACACTCTACAGGTTAGATTTAAGTGGAAGTGACTTGATAAACAAATATTAAATGACCAGTCAGGTTAAGTATCATGTCTTGAAATAATTGACCTTAGCAGTATGTTCCAGTTGGAATAAAATGTCATGTTTTACAGGCAATTTCAGTTGATTCATCAAGACATTAATTTAATAACTTTGGGATGAAATCAGAATGGCCTTTCTTGAAGAGAGTAATCTCTATAGACAAGGAGTGGTTGTGTGACATTCTGCTGGAGCATGGTTTGAGCTTTGAGCTTTGAACAGAGTTTGAAAAGTCTTCGCCCTCTTCCACGGAGGTGACAGAAATTAGATCATAGCCTGTGTTTTTGTGAGAGCTCTGGGTTTTGTGTGGTGACCAGGCAATTTTAGAACTTCTCACATTTTACTCCTAAGGCTTCATTGGAATCGAGGTTCAGGACAGATTTGTTCCTGAGTTTGGAGTAGTCTCCTGTATACTTTCCTATATTTGTGAAATATTTTGCAGAGTATCTTACTTTTCTAATTTAAAAAAAAAAAAAAAACCTAAAGTGAAATAAACAGAAAAAGACAGATGTGTAATATCACTCACATGTAGAATCTAAAAAAAAAAAATCAAAATCATAAAAACAGAGAGTAGTTACCAGGGGCTGGAGCGGGTAGGGGGGCACATGGAATTGGGGAGATATTAGTCGAACAGTACAAACTTCTGGCTGTAAGATGAGTAAGTTCTCCGATGTAATATACAGCATGGCGATTGCAGTTAATAATACTGTATTATATACTTGAAAAAGAGAGTAGCTTTAAAAAAAGGTTTAAAAACATTCAGCAGTCTGAATCAGTAGCGCTTCTGAGTTACACATCCAGCTTTTCAATGAATCTAGCAGAGGGAAGGTTCTGCAACTTTAGAAAGATAAACCGTATGATATGATTTTATAATCTCTCTAATTCAAGTTTTATGTTGCATTTTTCAACAAGTTACATGTTTTCTAAACCTGTATGTTCAGGCAATAGGCATCTATTCAAGGTGATAAGTTTCAGTGAACCCCATGGTTTAGTTTATTCCAGGCACATTTCAATAGGACAAGAAATTAAGGGTTGTAAAAAACAAAAGAAATAGATGTCTGTTGTCTGTTGGTTTAACAGAGATAGTCTGTGCATGAAAATGTGTATGTGAGATTTACAAAATAAATTTAATATTGTTCCAAAGCAAACAGACCTAAATGATGCAAGATATATACATTTTGTTATATTTATTTCACCTTTATTCATTTGGACAAAAAAGAGTACTACACTGCTTATGTTTTAGATAGAATTTTGAGATCAGGATAAAGATACCTGGGAAATTGACTTTGGAGGCCTTATACGTACACACTGGGGGTTCTGTCTGTTCCTTCCATTGACAATTTCAGAATCAAAGTCACTTGTTAGGAGAGAACATTAATATCATATTTAACAAGAAATGATTTGTTTACATATAAATTATTTTAGTTTAAGACGTATCTTTGGCATATATAACATTTATCACTGTTTCCTACTTAGAGATTCATAGAACATCATTACATAGACGGTTTAATGTTTTGTCGTGAGGATTTCCTTACCTGTAAACAAATACTTCCCAGTTCACAGGACACAGCAGTACCTGTCTTATTTGGATTTAGTGAATATGAAAAGCTTTGTTAGAACTCTAAGATCATGCTAATGAAATATATTCTTTCTGGCAGCATTTAAATCTTACCAAGGAAAGTAAGCCAATAAAATATTATTGGCCACTTTTTAGACTTTCCCAGGACAGTTTTTTTTTAAATCCAAAATTGAAATGTTAGGATCAGCTTTTTAAATCTTTCATATGACTGCATCTCAAACTTTGAGCTGACCTGTATAGCCCTTTACATCACTCTCATTTATGCTGAGTGACAGAAATAGGCATTGGGGTCTCATGTCTGAGGTAGGGCTTGTTCTCCCTCTGTGCCATGAGTCACTGGTGGATTCACTTAGTGTGGAAAACCAGTCCCTGGAGCTGGGCAAGAGTGGGGGAAATAGGGCTTTTGTTGGCTGGCTTCCTTTAAAATCTTGGGGGTTTTCCCACCTGGAAATACAAGAAAAAAAAAAAAAAAAGAATGATTTTCTATGAAAGTAATAAGTAATGTTTCTACCTGATCAGAAACCTGTTTGGATTGAGATCTGTTTTCCTCTAGAATAGAAAATTGGGTTATTCTTAACATTTAAAATCTTATGGTTGGTTACCATAACATCTCCCTTAAACAAGAAAAGGAGCAGACTGAAGATTTTTTCATTAAATTCCGACCTTTATAGTAGAGATAATGAATGTTAAAGGATCCTGAACACTCATTTCGTGTGATGAATGTGGTGACATCCTATTTTGCAAGTAGATCCTGAGTATAATTTGATTTATTTAGGTGGGCAGATCAACAGAAAGCCCTATTGACTTCGTCGTTACAGACACAATTTCTGGCAGTCAGAACAACGACGAAGCGCAGATTACACAGAGCACCATATCCAGGTTTGCCTGCAGGGTAGTCTGTGACAGGAACGAACCGTACACAGCACGCATATTCGCAGCCGGATTCGACTCTTCCAAAAACATATTTCTTGGCGTAAGTACTATTAATCAGTACGTTGTTTCTAGAAAAACACCCATTATCATCATATATAACATTTAATTGTGGCCAAAAAATTTGCCTTGCACAGTGCTTCTGGTGAGATTGTAGTTTTCATACAGCCAGTTTGAAAAGCTGTCATTAAAAATCTGAAAATAATTGTCGTTACTTGTTATTTGTTATATTTGCTATATTAACTATAATATGTACAGTAATTAACTTTTGTAAAGTATGTGTATTAACATACATAATGTATTTCAGAAGGAAAATGGTCAGATCTAGATAATCGGGGTGCAAAAGAAAATGTTATTCCTTTATTCATTCAAAAAATTGTTACGTAGTGTTTGCTTTGTTCCATATTGGGTGTAACAGATGTGATATCACAAAGAATAAAACAGACTAAAAATATCTCCCTTCATAGAATGTCCGTGTAAATAAAACCCCACAGTTTTAGTGAATATCCAGTTTTAATATAGTCCCCTTTTTGAATCAGGATATTTTTGGGGGGGGGGGGAGAAAAACCTCACTTTAAAATGGCCTAAATGGTAATAAAAATGTATCACGTTGCAAGAAGCGCCCAGGAAGGCCAGCTGCAGGCTTGGTTGGTGCAGTGTTCTGTGACATCCGGGGAGCCAGGTTCATTCCGTCTTGCCCTCTGCCTCTGGGCACATCAGCTTCCTCAGGCGAGGTCCTGGCGGCGGTGGGATGGCTCCTGCACTTCCACCAGCCCCCACAGCATGACAGCTTCCCGCTGAAGAAAGGCAGCAAAGGCACTGTTTCTTCCTCGTCTCTTTTAAAGAACCAAGAAACCTTTCCAGGAAGCTTCCCAGAAGGACTCACTCAGGCCTCACGGGCCAGAACTCAGTCACATGCCCACCCCTAAACCAGTCATAACTGGCTTATTTATCCTCATCAGATTTACCCAAGTCATGTGAGCAATATCTGGCTCTGTGGCCAGGTGTCCACGAGCATCAGTCCTGCCGTTACATCCAGCCGCTTGTGCCTTCCACCCTTGATGATGTAACACTGATTCGTATGAAAACAGAACGGAGTGGCCACAACTTGTTGGCTTAATATATTTTGAAATTTTGTTTGTTTAATAAAAAACTTTTCTCTTTCTTCTAGTACTTCCCTGATAATGAGTTCATACAAAGCATTTTTAGATAACAGGATGAAAGCACTGCACAAATAGAATCGAAGAATACATACTGTATTCCTGGAATCACCTGGGGGCGGGGAGTGGTTTGAACAAGAATCTGTGAGGGAGAGGTTCAGGCATCAGGTTTTGTTTAAGTGCCCAAGGTAAATATGTCTCCAGCGATAAATCATTCATCTATTTTTGCACTTCTTTCATTTTGTCGGACTAACTGCATTTTTTATCCTTCTGATTATTAGCTTTAAGTAGAAAATGAAAATTCCTCACTTTCCTCCCCTCTGCCCTTAACCCAATAGTTTAAAGAGATTCTAGAATCTTTTTGTGTTGAACATACTCTTTTCTGTGCTATGCTCTCCAGGAAAAGGCAGCAAAGTGGAAAAACCCCGATGGCCACATGGATGGGCTCACGACCAATGGTGTCCTGGTGATGCATCCGAGAGGGGGCTTCACTGAGCAGTCCCAGCCTGGGGTCTGGCGCGAGATCTCTGTCTGTGGAGACGTGTACACCTTGCGAGAGACCAGGTCTGCGCAGCAAAGGGGAAAGCTGGTGAGTGGACTTCATGCAAATAAGGCATGAAACTACAGACACCTAACTCGAAAGCTATCATTTTCCTCCCCTGAAATTCAAAATCTTTGTACAGGTCTTAGGGCTGTGTACCATTGACCCAGGAGAACAAGAATTTTCTGAGCCTCCAAAAGTAAGAGGGAACTAGCCTTCTTCCCTTTCATGATTAAGCTTTTCCAATAGTGGAAGAAAATTACCTTTTGCTCCTAACTACCTTAAGAGCACAATCTTATTAATATACTTCACCACAGGTTTCTGCTTAAATTCACTTTAAGAAGAATAAACTTATTTTTAGTGTAAAACTTTACTAATTTGGAAAACTCCTGAGCAGTCTAAGACTAATTAGTAAAAATTTTGAATTAGAGAATTATTTACTACACTTTCTGGGACTAAAAGATAATTAAGTTAGCTTTTTTTTCTTTTCCCTTGAGTTAATAGTAAGAAATTAATATATAATTCCCTATATGATTCACCAAAGTCACAGTTACAGCTTTTCACTTGAAATAGTTCGTATAGTACGTTGACTTGGCATGTTTGTATTTTTTCTATATATATTACTACTTATCCCAAATGCCCTAAAGCGGTTGGGTTTTTAACCCTTTCTTCAATGGAGAATAATTTTTTTTAAAACACCTTTATTGGAGTATAATTGCTTTACAATGGTATGTTAGTTTCTGCTCTATAACAAAGTGAATCAGTTATACATATACATATGTTCCCATATCTCTTCCCTCTTGCATCTCCCTCCCTCCCACCCTCCCTATCCCACCCCTCCAGGCAGTCACAAAGCACCGAGCTGATATCGCTGTGCTATGCGGCTTCTTCCCACTAGCTATCTACCTTACGTTTGTTAGTGTATATAGGTCCATGCCTCTCTCTCGCTTTGTCACAGTTCACCCTTCCCCCTCCCCATATCCTCAAGTCCGTACTCCAGTAGGTCTGTGTCTTTATTCCTGTCTTACCCCGAGGCTCTTCATGACATTTTTTTTCTTAAATTCCATATATATGTGTTAGCATACGTTATTTGTCTTTCTCTTTCTGACTTACTTCACTCTGTATGACAGACTCTTAAGTCTATCCACCTCATTACAAATAGCTCAATTTCGTTTCTTTTGACGGCTGAGTAATAGTCCATTGTATATATGTGCCACATCTTCTTTATCCATTCATCCGATGATGGGCACTTAGGTTGTTTCCATCTCCGGGCTATTGTAAATAGAGCTGCAATGAACATTTTGGTACGTGACTCTTTTTGAATTATGGTTTTCTCAGGGTATATGCCCAGTAGTGGGATTGCTGGGTCATATGGTAGTTCTATTTGTAGTTTTTTAAGGAACCTCCATACTGTTCTCCATACTGGCTGAACCAATTCACATTCCCACCAGCAGTGCAAGAGTGTTCCCTTTACTCCACACCCTCTCCAGCATTTATTCTTTCTAGATTTTTTGATGATGGCCATTCTGACTGGTGTGAGATGATATCTCATTGTAGTTTTGATTTGCATTTCTCTAATGATTAATGATATTGAGCATTCTTTCATGTGTTTCTTGGCAGTCTGTATATCTTTTTTGGAGAAATGACTATTTAGGTCTTCTGCCCATTTTTGGATTGGGTTGTTTGTTTTTTTGTTATTGAGCTGCATGAGCTGCTCGTAAATTTTGGAAATTAATCCTTTGTCCATTGTTTCATTTGCAAATATTTTCTCCCATTCTGAGGGTTGTCTTTTGGTCTTATTTATGATTTCCTTTGCTGTGCAAAAGCTTTGAAGTTTCATTAGGTCCCATTTGTTTATTTTTGTTTTTATTTCCATTTCTCTAGGAGGTGGGTCAAAAAGGATCTTGCTGTGACTTATGTCATAGAGTGTTCTGCCTATGTTTTCCTCTAAGAGTTTGATAGTTTCTGGCCTTACATTTAGGTCTTTAATCCATTTTGAGCTTATTTTTGTGTATGGTGTTAGGGAGTGATCTAATCTCATACTTTTACATGTACCTGTCCAGTTTTCCCAGCACCACTTATTGAAGAGGCTGTCCTTTCTCCACTGTACATTCCTGCCTCCTTTATCAAAGATAAGGTGACCGTATGTGCATGGGTTTATCTCTGGGCTTTCTACCCTGTTCCATTGATCTATATTTCTGTTTTTGTGCCACTACCCTACTGTCTTCATTACTGTAGCTTTGTAGTATAGTCTGAAGTCAGGGAGCCTGATTCCTCCAGCTCCGTTTTTCGTTCTCAAGATTGCTTTGGCTATTCGGGGTCTTTTGTGTTTCCATACAAATTGTAAAATTTTTTGTTCTGGTTCTGTGAAAAATGCCAGTGGTAGTTTGATAGGGATTGCATTGAATCTGTAGATTGCTTTGGGTAGTAGAGTCATTTTCACAATGTTGATTCTTCCAATCCAAGAACATGGTATATCTCTCCTTCTGTTTGTATCATCTTTAATTTTTTTCATCAGTGTCTTATAATTTTCTGCATACAGGTCTTTTGTCTCCTTAGGTATGTTTATTCCTAGATATTGTATTCCTTTTGTTGCAATGGTAAATGGGAGTGTTTTCTTGATTTCACTTTCAGATTTTTCATCATTAGTGTATAGGAATGCAAGAGATTTCTGTGCATTAATTTTGTATTCTGCAACTTTACCAAATTCATTGATTAGCTCTAGTAGTTTTCTGGTAGCATCTTTAGGATTCTCTATGTATAGTATCATGTCATCTGCAAACAGTGACAGCTTTACTTCTTCTTTTCCGATTTGGATTCCTTTTATTTCCTTTTCTTCTCTGATTGCTGTGGCTAAAACTTCCAAAACTATGTTGAATAAGAGTGGTGAGGGTGGGCAACCTTGTCTTGTTCCTGATCTTAGTGGAAATGGTTTCAGTTTTTCACCATTCAGGATGATGTCGGCTGTGGGCTTCTCATATATGTCCTTTATTATGTTGAGGAAAGTTCCCTCTATGCCTACTTTCTGCAGGGTTTTTATCATAAATGGGTGTTGAATTTTGTCAAAAGCTTTCTCTGCATCTACTGAGATGATCGTATGGTTTTTCTCCTTCAATTTGTTAATATGGTGTATCACATTGATTGATTTGCATATACTGAAGAATCCTTGCATTCCTGGAATAAACCCCACTTGATCATGGTGTATGATCCTTTTAATGTGCTGTTGGATTCTGTTTGTTTGTTACTATTTTGTTGAGGATTTTTGCATCTATGTTCATCAGTGATATTGGCCCGTAGTTTTCTTTCTTTGTGACATCCTTGTCTGGTTTTCGTATCAAGGTGATGGTGACCTCGTGGAAGGAATTTGGGAGTGTTCCTCCCTCTGCTATATATTGGAAGAATTTGAGAAGGATAGGTGTTAGCTCTTCTCTAAATGTTTGATAGAATTCGCCTGTGAAGCCATCTGGTCCTGGGCTTTTGTTTGTTGGAAGAGTTTTAATCACAGTTTCAATTTCAGTGCTGGTGATTGGTCTGTTCATATTTTCTATTTCTTCCTCAGTCTTGGCACGTTGTGCATTTCTAAGAATTTGTCCATTTCTTCCAGGTTGTCCATTTTATTGGCATAGAGTTGCTTGTAGTAACCTCTCATGATCTTTTTTATTTCTGCAGTGTCAGTTGTTACTTCTCCTTATTCATTTCTAATTCTGTTGATTTGAGTCTTCTCCCTTTTTTTCTTGATGAGTCTAGCTAATGGTTTATCTATTTTGTTTATCTTCTCAAGGAACCAGCTTTTAGTTTTATTGATCTTTGCTATTGTTTCCTTCATTTCTTTTTCATTTCTTTCTGATCTGATTTTTATGAATTCTTTCCTTCTGCTAACTTTGGGGTTTTTTTCGTTGTTCTTTCTCTAATTGCTTTAGGTGCAAGGTTAGGTTGTGTATTTGAGATGTTTCCTGTTTCTTAAGGTAGGATTATATTGCTATAAACTTCCCTCTTAAAACTGCTTTTGCTGCATCGCTGCATCCCATAGGTTTTGGGTCGTCGTGTCTCCATTGTCATTTGTTTCTAGGTATTTTTTGATTTCCTCTTTGATTTCTTCAGTGATCACGTCGTTATTAAGTAGTGTATTGTTTAGCCTCCATGTGTTTGTATTTTTTTACAGATCTTTTCCTGTTAATTGATAGCTAGTCTCATGGCGTTCTGGTTGGAAAAGACACTTAATACGATTTCAATTTTCTTAAATTTACCAAGGCTTGATTTGTGACCCAAGATATGATCTGTCCTGGAGACTATTCCATGAGCACTTGAGAAAATGTGTATTCTGTTGTTTTTGGATGGAGTGTCCTATAAATATCAATTAAGTCCATCTTGTTTAATGTATCATTTAAAGCTTGTGTTTCCTTATTTATTTTCATTTTGGATGATCTCTCCATTGGTGAAAGTGGGGTGTTAAAGTCCCCTACTATGAATGTGTTACTGTCGATTTCCCCTTTTATGGCTGTTAGTATTTGCCTTATGTATTGAGGTGCTCCTATGTTGGGTGCATAAATATTTACAGTTGTTATATCTTCTTCTTGGATTGATCCCTTTGTAGTGTCCTTCTTTGTCTCTTCAATAGTCTTTATTTTAAAGTCTAGTTTGTCTGATATGAGAATTGCGACTCCAGCTTTCTTTTGGTTTCCATTTGCATGGAATATCTTTTTCCATTCCCTTACTTTCAGTCTGTATGTGTCTCTAGGCCTGAAGTGGGTCTCTTGTAGACAGCATATATATGGGTCTTGTTTTTGTATCCATTCACCCAGTCTGTGTCTTTTGGTGGGAGCACTTAGTCCATTCACATTAAAGGTAATTATCGATATGTATGTTCCTATTACCATTTTCTAAATTGTTTTGGGTTCGTTATTATAGGTCTTTTCCTTCTCCTGTGTTTCTTGCCTAGAGAAGTTCCTTTAGCATTTGTTGTAAAGCTGGTTTGGTGGTGCTGAACTCTCTCAGCTTTTGCTTGTCTGTAAAGGTTTTAATTTCTCCATCAAATCTGAATGAGATCC